CTCAAATTTTGAATTAGCTGTGCAGTGATTTCTTTTTAATAAATGGATGTGTAGTGGGGAGAGCTCTTTAAATCTCCTGCAGCCTTCTTCTCTCAGCACTCAGAAATAAATTTATTGATTTGGAGATTCAACCTGTGTTGACATCACTATTTTTGTCTTTGCAAAAACAGTATCTCGCTTGTCAGTCAGCAGTATGCTATATTGCTTTCCAAGCAAAACTGTGAGAATAATCAATTCAGGACAAAGCATTTGTACATTTCTAAACACACATGACAATGAGACATAAAGCAAAGGGCTTTTTATTGTCCATATGTTATAATTATGCCAATATTTTTCATGTTTGAAATCATCTTGCTGCAGAAATAAAGTACAGTAGAAAAGCTTGATAATATTTGCTTGGTGCAAAACTCTGTGTCCTCACCTAAGGCAGCATCAAATCAATAGTCCCCTGAGAAAGGAAGTGATTTTCCTTACAGAACTTATCACAAGTCAATTGGTGTAAAAAAAAAAAGGTGTATAATGCCACTTATTCTGATTAAATTTAGCTTTGTTGATGCAGATGCTAATAGGGAAATTGTCTCAGTGAAACTTGTCAGTGTTTGTTTGTTCATGTCAAAGGATTTGAGGATACGGATGCAGATTTTCTCCCTGTTAGATTTTCCCTTTTGTTGTGGCTTTGAGTTTTGTTTTGAAGGTGTTGTGCAGATAATAACAGGGAGAAAGGCTTCCTTTGGATCTTTTTTTTTAAGGCCACTACTCTGTGTCTGTGTGTGCTGCCTTCAGCCCATTCTCTGTTTTTGAGAGAAAGCTCTTACTCACAAAAACGTGCTTTTCAATAATTAGTTTTTATAGTGGCTTTTTTGTATCACAGTTTATTGTATATACTGTATGTGTTTTCATAGCAAATTATGTTAATTATGTTATATATAATTGAGGAGTTTGTCGTACTAAATAAACATTTTATGCATTTAACAACTCATGACTAAAAATACAGGCCCATTTTACTGCATTAAACTGTAACACCAGTTCCTTATTAAAAGAGATGTTAGTTGATATTCTGATTGCGTGCGTTTTGGATTTTGGTGCACTGAAATCACAGATTGTACATCTGTAAAACTATTAATCGAGGACCACCCACAGTCTCCTGAATCCTGGACACCACTGTAGGACATACTGTGATCATTAAACATGTTCTATGAATAGACAGATATAAGTACAACGCAATAGGTGAGCTACTAACCCCCAGCCCTCACCACCATGCGCACGCACACGCCTATATAAGGACATTCAGTAGAAAAGCTCACCGCTGCTGGGTTGAATCTATTAACTCTAGTGGAAACACCTGCCGCGGAGTCTTCAGGTTGCAGCTCCTTGATAGGTCGACCCTCCCTTACTTGCGACTCCACATCTCCACTTCATTGCGCTCGACCGGTGTCAATCTCCTCAACAAATCCCTCCCCCGAGATATCAAATAGACCGTGTAGCTGCCCGGCTCTTGCACTATTTGCCCAGACGGCTTCCGCTCCATTCAAATCCTGAGTGCGTCTCTGCAGCGGTGCGTTGCGCGCAGGCTGGAGATGACAAGAGCTCCGCGGAACTGGCCAGACAACCATGGATCTCCATAAAACGCTGATTTCGGTGCTTTGGATATTATTGGTGAACCGAGTGGAAGACTGTCACGCTGAGGAAGGTATGTGAAAACGTGTTTATTTTTATTTTATCTTATTTCCCCCCTTCTGGGTCGGTTGTTCCCAAACTAGTCGCAGCAGACAGTGTTGATAGACACAGATGTCCGCGGCGGAGTAGTTTGGGATGTGCACTTGTCCTGTGATGAGATGCAGGTGCATGCTCGACACTGATGAGCGCACTTAGACAAGAGTCCTATAATGGATCCTATAAACAAAAACATAGTTTAGCGGATAACTGAGAGACGCGTTTCAGTAAGCGCTACTGTGACAGATTTACGCATTCGTGCTTAGTGAACTCGAAGCGTTTTTCAACCAAACAACCTGAACATCCGAACAAATCTGGCAACTTGAGATTATCAGATTTTTAGTCACTTTATTTCATGTGAACAGATAAACGACGCAAATATGACACTTTAGAATGACCAAACCCTCACAACTGACTATTATTTGGAGTATTCGCTCCAGCTTTAGAAATGACTGATGTGGATAAACTCGTTAACAGATTTTAATCCAAAGACAGAAACTGAACGGGACGTCGCATATCTCTAAAATTTCTAGTGTCACATAGAGCCAGTGGCTGCTAAGGTATCCGCTTTGATTTATTAAAAAGGAAGGCAAGTTTCGTTCAGGCAGCCCCCTGTCGATTGTCCCACAGATTTGAACTATGTACTGCGCTTTGTCTCGGCAGCTGTGTGCAACTGGTTTCTTTGTCTTTACATAATCTAACAGTCACGGATGCTGTAGTGCGGACGTCAGTGTGCATTATAGGCTGATGGGTTTGTGCTTATCCAGCTACATTTTTTAAACAGTTGGACAAAAATAGTAGTTGTTTCTCTGTCTTTCCATTAGCGTTGAATCAAAGCTGGAATGAAAGGGAGCAATGTATGATTCACTTAGTGTTGGATCAAGATTTAATGCTGTTGTGGGATTGGGATTTAGCTGGCTCGTTTAATTGCCTCTGTGCATCTGCACTGAAGTGTGTGACAGAGGGAGGGAGCTCTGTACTGTTGTGCTGCCACAGTTTACAAGCAGCCTGGCTGATTGCCACAGATAAATACTTTCTTCAGTCACAAGTTCACCAAGATATTGTAAACCTATGAAACCTAACACAGTGCTTATTGAACGTGTGCGTTTCTGACTGGTTGGCTCAGGTGAAGCCAGGAAAGTGATCCTAATCTGTTCTGAGACTGAAGTGGAAGAGAACATAATGGCTTCAGACCCCCAGGCTCTCTCTACAGTAAAGAGGGGCTTGCATAGCTGAGTGGATTTTGGACACACTTGCATCCATTTGCACACAGACGCATCATCAGTCTCACACATACGTACCTATTCGGTAACCTACATGTACGCCAGATTTGGCACACATAAGCACATTGCAGTAATTCATCACTGACACACACCAGCTTATGGTCAAATGCACACACTCGCTTTACACGTATGGTGTGGCTACCTGGAAGCTTTCTCATGACACACAGACTATCCACGCGCACACAGTATGTGTGGTTGGTGTGATATTTTTTTGGGGACCTGACAGTGCCGTTGTGCATGCATATGCAGATATGCTTGCAGATGTGAACACTTACATGCACACATTCATAGTCTTGAGTATACACACACCTCCTCTAGAGCACTGGATGCAACAATCATGGACTCTTTGCCATATTGATTTAGATCCCTGGAATGCTGGGTAGCCGGATTTGGATGCTAGCTTTTGTTTAATTGATGTTGTGACAGCGATTAATTGCTGTGAAAGCAATGTGCTTCTGAAGGCTGGTATTGGCAGCAATTCTTCTCACTGATTTTAAGGATTTGGGAGATAGGGAAAACACTCTAGAGAGTTGTTCTCTTTGTTTTGCCATTATATTAAATAAGGCAATTTACCTGACTGTGTGTGTTCTGTTGGAGAAACTCTGCCATGCAGTGTGTGTGTGTGTGTGTGTGTGTATTAAGGTGTTATCTTTCCTGTAGTTAGAATTTTGAGTATCTCTTAACGCCTCTATTATATTATAATACAATATTTATGTTGCTCTGTGATCACCATTCATGAAATTTCTCTTTTCTAGTCTGCCCTTGTGCCCATTATAATCCTTCAGTAGCTCTTATTCATTTTGACATGTCCCTTTGTGTTTGTGTTTCTCATGTGCCAACAGCATTTTACTGTGTTGCTTTGTGAGGCTTCATTCTTATATTGTTAATTCTTCCTTCCTTTGTGCTCTACTCTTTTTTTTTTTCCTGCCTATCTTCATGTTTTCCTTTGTTCCTCCTGCTGTCCTCTCACATGTCACCCTCTTCTTTTTTCTTTCTTCTATCCAACCACCCCCATCCCCCTGCACATTCCTCTTGCATCCTGAGTTGACTTGTGAAATGATAATATGACCGGGGGCACCGTACAGGCAGAACCGCCCACCCTCCCACACCAGCACCTTTATACACAGTCAAAATGTCCACTTCGCCTCCCTTCAGATCGCTTTTCTCATTCCCCACACTTCACTGCTAACATACCTTGGCATCTCATTGGGATCTCATTTACTTCCCCTCTCCTCCCTCTCACCCTCCCTTCTCGTGCGTCCATTCTGCAGCAGACTGAGAGAGGGCACAAGCCAGGTATAGAACAACAGAGGTAGAGTGAGAGAGGGGTGCAGTGATTGAGAACAAGAGAGACTCAGAAACTGCAGAGTGACCAGGGTGATCATCCTGTAGCTTTGCTTTGATGCCTCACTATGTCAGAAAGGCTCGGGTGACTTGACTGCATTGTTCTTGGCAGGCATGTAGAATGGTGTTTACCTGCAGTGTTATTGTGCCACAGTGTGTTGCCTAAAATCTCTCATGTCGTGTGTCATTTACGTTGGATATTTTCCACCTAGCTGGTTTGCGGTGCTGAGATAGGAATCATCTGGGATAAAGTTCCAGTGTTTTGTAGTTAAACATCAGCTGTTGTAGCTAAAAAGTCTACGTTTTTAGAAAAGTGTCAAAATGCCTTTGTACATTTATGAGTTGGAATCATAAACTCTTGGCATGAGCATTATTGTGTTTCACTCTAGATGAAACATTTTCAACCCATTTGGTTGCACCTTTACTTCTGTTGGCACTGTCCAGGAGGAATTTCCTTTCACTTGTCTTTTCAATGACTTTATATGAAAACATTCTGCCTCATCTTTTTTTGGGGGGGGCTTGGTCACCACAGTACTTTCTCTAATAAAGTGGTTATAACTTGCATGAATATTTCCTTAAAAACACGGCCCATTTAAGCTCTTTAAACTGCCAACAATAAATGAATCTGACTTGCAATGGGGGATTATGGGTCTAATGTTTTTTAAGCTTCACTAAAACTCAGGATATCTCAGTCTCTGCTGCAGTGATTTTTGCCCATTTTTTTCCAAATGTGCATCTTATAAGCCTCCCAACTTTGCAGAAGTATAGTAATGAACTGCTTTTCTACATATTCAATGTGTGGACAGATGCAGATTGTAAATGAAGGCACTCCAACTGCTAACTCTGTTGTTTTATTTGAAAAACCAGCTCCTTCTGTAGATGCAAAGCCTTGCTGTTTCTGTTTGCTGTTAACATGAATGCAAGTTAAAGTGACTATTCACTAACAAACTTCACTCATATGTCATAATTACCAAATCTTAGTGCTTAATTAGTGCTTAGAAGTGATCTGATGAAAATTGGGTTTACCAGCAATTGCCAAACTGGCAGAGTAGCAGCAGCACTCCGCCCTCCCAGGCATCAATTGGGACTAATTGTGTGTGATTGATGCAGGCTTATTTCTGCTCTGCTGCCGCTGCCACTGCTGGGATCAGAATGCACTGGTCCATCCTGTGCTGGCAAGGACAACCTTGGACCTGTGTGTGCCGAATTGCATGACTGTGACCTCTGCGAGCATCAAAGGTCAGAGTGATTTGTGAAGATGGCAAGCATAACACCGCGTCGTTCTCTTGTCGAGGCCTCAGGGACTGTCATTTTCAGGAGAGACAAAAAGAGGGCAAAGGCGGAAGGAACGGTAGATGCATAGGTGCAGTGCAATGAATGGAGGAAAAGGGAGAAAGAGGAGACTGATCCAAAAAGGGATGCATTACATGTAGCAAAAAAGAAGAGGTGTGTCAGGTTTAGGGGTGAGGAAAGAGGTGTGGTGATCGAGGAACAGCAGATGACAAGAGTGACAGGAAGAAATCTGGAGGGGAGTGAAGGTAAGTGGTGAAGGAATTATAGGCCCGCTTTGTTCCACAGCTCTTGTATGTTAAATGTGAATGAAACAGATGTAGGGTTCCTATAATAAGTCAATGCAGCATCAGCCAGGTCTTTAGTTACTGCCCACTCCACTGGGACTCATTGACTAAGACCGATAGACTGAATTATATACGTGTGTGTGTGTGTGTAAGAGCATGTGTGTTGATATCCCAGCAGGGTCACCTGATTTCCTTTGTTCAGGGTAAGGACACTACTACAGCATTAGTGCTGTTCTGCTGGATCAGCAAGAATGAGACATTGGAAAAGGGGAGTGTGTATATGGGAGGGGAAAAAGAGCAGTCTTCGTGTGTGTGTGTGTGTGTGTGTGTGTGTGTGCGCGCGCGCACATGTGGAAGGAAGGATGGGGGTTTAGCAGGTACTTCAGCCAGCTCTGTGAAGCTGCCTGTCATGGAAGGAACTGCAGATGAACTGCATGTTTGGATCCTAATTTGATTGATGAATCGATGCTGAAACTCTTTTTTTCAGTTGCTGTCTGTGTATGTGAAAGCACAGCCTCTGTGGATGTGTCCTTCACATACTACTTCACATTTGCTTGCATCCGTATTTATATGGGAACCAGTTTGTGCACTTTATTTTGCCTTGATCATTTTTGTCTACTGTACTAAACATTTCAGCTGGACTGACTTCGATGTTTTGAACAGACTGTTCTGTACAAGTACACTTCATCAATAATTTTGGGGCTGCGGCTAATGGTTATTTTTAAATAATCTGCTGATTGTTTTCTTGATTAGCTGTTTAGTCTGTAAAGTGT